GTGGGTAAGTGACGCTACCTTCACCTTCGTGGGTAAGTGATGCTTCCTTCGCCGTCGTGGGTAAGTGACGCTACCTTCACCGTCGTAAGTGATGCCTCTCACCGTCGTGGGTAAGTGACGCCTCCTTCACCGTCGTGGGTAAGTGACGCTTCCTTCACCGTCGTGGGTAAGTGACGCTTCCTTCACCGTCGTGGGTAAGTGACGCTACCTTCACCGTCGTGGGTAAGTGACGCTACCTTCACCGTCGTGGGTAAGTGACGCTACCTTCACCGTCGTGGGTAAGTGACGCTACCTTCACCGTCGTGGGTAAGTGACGCCTCCTTCACCGTCATGGGTAAGTGACGCTACCTTCACCGTCGTGGGTAAGTAACCCTACCTTCACCGTCGTGTGTAAATGATGCCTCTCACCGTCGTGGGTAAGTGACGCTTTTCTTACTGTTGTGGGTAAATGACCCCGCCTTTACCGTCGTGGGTAAGTGACCCTACCTTCACCGTCGTGGGTAAATGACGCTTTTCTCACCGTCGTGGGTAAGTGACCATACCTTCACCGTCGTGGGTAAGTGACAACTAATTATAAACTAGTTGACCTCTTTGTGTACACCTTTGTGTGTTACTGCAGACAATTAGTTGCTTGTAATAATTACATCATCAGTTGGTCGTGTATAATCCACACAATAGATGGCGCTGAACAAGCTCCAAATAAATATCTGGCAACTGCAAAGGAAATTTTTTACCATCATATATACTATTAAGTGTATATAATATACACCCTGAGAGCATCAAGAGGAATATATAATGAAATGTGTACCTCATTTCTCAGTGTTTATGGCAGAGTTTACTTTCGGCTTGAACTATACTCTGGTCTACAGTATATTTCTTGGCGAGTCGATAGCTATTGAGGAGGTCGTGACAATGCTTACTGACGGGCCTTAAGCCTAATACCAAGACTATACTTCGACTTAAACTATAATGCTGAACTGTATTCTAGATTATAGTGGGTCTATACCCAAGATATGGAACTCAAGTAGAGTGCGGCCTGAGTGCAGGCAACTGATCTGAACACCTGCCACCTTCACGCTCCCGTATGGCATCCTTAGCGATATCGTGTCACTCGCGGACACTGTGAGTGCTAGTCACTGGTTTACCTTGTACATTCATTACTAAATTACATCTAAGACGACCCTGGCCACCAACGCGTCTCCCGCCGCCCACAGAGCCGCCCCAGCCGCTGAAGGACTGCAACGTTACTATGGTGGGAGAGACGCAGCTGGTGGTGAAGTGCGACGCCCACACCCGCAGCGCCCACGAAGACGCCTCGCACGCCCACCTCTCCCCCAGCGCCAGTTTCGTGTTGTCACCTGAAGCCAGCGCCCGAGCCAACCTGGAGGTGAGCACACTCTTCACCCAACCCGTCCTCTTAAAAATAACGTCACTTTTGGCTCGTATGCGCGCTATGGCCAAATTTGGACGTAATTTAAAATGAAATCTACTCACAAAAGTGACGATCTGTTCCGTTTTCTATTCGAGTCGTCCGGCGTACGCGCAGAGGTTATGAGAGGACACTTTAAATTAACGTTTTTCATAACGTTTTGAAACTTTGAGAATTTCCTGCCCACCTAACCTATGAGAGGACCCTTAACTTACTGTTGTTGAAAAAAAAAAATCCCAAATTTATTTTCATTTTTTTTTCATTTTCAAATTACGTCCAAATTCGGCCATACGGGCAAACGGCCAAAAGCGACGTTCTTTTTAAGAGGACAGGCCAGTAGCAGGCATCCATCAGTCGCAGGAGACTGGAGTTGCGCTCTGGTTGTCGACCTGACAACCTGGTGGTGAACAGGTACAAACTGTTCACCAACAGGTTGTAAAACCAACACCACCTAGTCTAAACTAACCTAATTTAACCAAATCTAACCAATTCCCACCAATCCAACTGAATTGGAGTTGGTTTGAAGAAAAGCTTCCGTTAAATAATGTGTTCATCATTATACATGTTTCAAGGTTCTTAAAGACTTGAATAATATAGTTGAGTATATACAGTTTCCTGTTGTCCGGATCTCTGTTCGGGATTAAAGTAAAATGTTGGTTGGTCTGTCAACTATTGTCCCAAAATCATAAACAGCCCATCAGAGTATGAGAGGCCTTGAACCTGAGCCGTGTTAGTGGCCGGTATTGGCTGTCATTGTTCATATAGCATTTAGCAGCTCTTCAGGAGCCTGAGGACTCGTTTGACAAGGAATACTTGCGGTTGTGAAGTGTGGCAACAACAGCAGCTGGTGACCAGCCAATGGCCAGTCACAGCAGTTTGTGTTATATTATTGTGTTGAGTGCATTATTACTTGTGAAATTAGTTTGTTTACTTGTATATGATAATGGTGGCAGGTTCTGGGTATTGTGTGTGGCAGCAGCTGGGTTATGGTTGATTTTATTTTAAAAATACTTTGTCCTTTTAAATAAAAGAAACAAAAAAGTCGTAGCAATTATTGCTGGTGGATCTGTGATAGGTTAATTAATATTTAACTGTGATTGTGCTGTAGGCCTCAGCCAATGAAAACGTTGGATAGTTCATGTCAGCTGTTTAGATTGGCTTACAACCTGTTTGTCTGTAAGATGACAAACATCTGTCAGTACGTATGAAAAAAACACCTGTCAGTGAACATGTTACAGGTGTGGTCTGGAGGCACCCTTATAGCCAACGTGAGTGAGGGTCGACCCGTGTTCACAGTGAGGGGCCTGCCGCCCGCCGCCAGCCTCAAGCTCGTCCTCTACTCGGCCACCGCCCACGCCCGCTCCACGCCCATCTACATGCACGCCCGCACTCTCCCGAGAACCACATTCCACCTCACAGGTAACCTCATTACTGGTATGACCTTCTCTTTATTAGTGGAGGGGTGAAGGGCTGAGGTTGAGGGGTGATTGGTCGGGGAGCAAGGAGCAGGGACTGGGGGGACTATGTGCCACATTGTGGGTGGGTAGGGGGGAGCTGGGGGTTTGGGATGGGGTGCAGGATTGGGATACTGGGGGCGAGAGGAGGGTTGAGGATTTTCCAGTAGGGAGGGTTGCCTGTAGGGGTGCAGCGGTGGCCTGTATCTGCTCGTCTGGTCATGCGATTTGTTCACCTCGATATTTACTCCTATAAATATATTATTTAGTTTATGTAGTTAAGTGTGTGTGTACTCACCTAGTTGTGCTTGCGGGGGTTGAGCTCTGGCTCTTTGGTCCCGCCTCTCAACCGTCAATCAACAGGTGTACAGGTTCCTGAGCCTACTGGGCTCTATCATATCTACATTTGAAACTGTGTATGGAGTCAGCCTCCACCACATTGCTTCCTAATGCATTCCATTTGTCAACCACTCTGACACTAAAAAAGTTCTTTCTAATATCTCTGTGGCTCATTTGGGCACTCAGTTTCCACCTGTGTCCCCTAGTGCGTGTGCCCCTTGTGTTAAATAGCCTGTCTTTATCAACCCTGTCGATTCCCTTGAGAATCTTGAATGTGGTGATCATGTCCCCCCTAACTCTTCTGTCTTCCAACGAAGTGAGGTTCAATTCCCGTAGTCTCTCCTCGTAGCTCATACCTCTCAGCTCGGGTACTAGTCTGGTGGCAAACCTTTGAACCTTTTCCAGTTTAGCCTTATGCTTGACTAGATATGGACTCCATGCTGGAGCCGCATACTCCAGGATTGGTCTGACATATGTGGTATATACTGTTCTGAAAGATTCCTTACACAAGTTTCTAAAGGCCGTTCTTATGTTAGCCAACCTGGTACAACCTGTGTGTGTGTGTGTGTACTCACCTACTTGTACTCACTCACGCTTGCGGGGGCTGAGCTTCGTCTCTTTGGTCCAGCCTCTCGATTGTCAACATTCTGATGTACAGATTCCTGAGCTTCTCGAGGTCTATCATATCTACGCTTTAAACTGTGTATGGAGTCAGTTTCCACCACATTACTTCCTAGTGCATTCCATGTACTAACTACTCTGACACTGAAAACGTTATTTCTAATGTTTCTGTGGCTCATTTGGGGACTCGGCTTCCACCTGTGTCCCCTTGTTCGTGTACCACCCGTGTTAAATAATCCATCTTTGTCTACCCTGTCAATTCCCCTGAGAATTGGCAGGGTGTGTGTGTGTACGTGCCATAGCCCCTTTGAAACACCATCGTCTTGGGGTAATTAAGGCACTTAGTGAGTTGACACATCTCCCAGTCCAGTGGAGTGGTGTTCTCTGGGTGATTCAAATCCCACCGTCAAGAGGACGGTGTCCAGCTAGGCAAATACTGTTCAGGATCTCTGTCCCTGACACTCCCCTCACAGCCTCTAGCTTGTCTCACTCATGTCAACACTCCCCTCACAGCCTCTAGCTTGTCTCACTCATGTCAACACTCCCCTCACAGCCTCTAGCTTGTCTCACTCATGTCAACACTCCCCTCACAGCCTCTAGCTTGTCTCACTCATGTCAACACTCCCCTCACACAGCTTGTCTCACTCAGTCTTGCCTCACTCATATCAACACCCAGCTCACAGCCTCTAGCTTGTCTCACTCATGTCAACACCCAGCTCACAGCCTCTAGCTTATCTCACTCATGTCAACACTCCCCTCACAGCCTCTAGCTTGTCTCACTCATGTCAACTCTCCGCTCACAGTCTCTAGCTCATCTCACTCATGTCAATGCATTAACGATAGCTCCAGTCCCCACAAGGGTTTTGGTCCAGCTTGTTGAGCTGATCTTAAACTAAAGAGGTAGATTCGTTTTAACTATAAGGAAGTACTAAGGTGCTCGGCCAGTACTGCGCCCGAAGGATGAAGCAATTAACCACTTTTCCAATAATAGTCACCGTTTAATAACGAAAAATTCTAAATTTTTGAAACTGGGAATTTAGGCATTCTGGGTTTTGTGCATTATGAGACGAAGAAATATTGGTACCGTTACCAATATTTTGACCGTTACCAATACCGCACATAATAGACCGATGCCTCGATGCACCTCTGGTTCTGGACCATAAGATTTATGTTAACTCGAACCAGACTATAAGAGTGATGTACTCGAGCAGTGTGGGAGCGCAGATCTCCCATAGTGTGGATGTGTGCCCTACTATCCTTGCTTCTATCATTCCTTAAATGGGGACTTTGGTCATCACTGTGTGCTGGGGAGGTTGTGGGGTACTGGGTCGGGGAGGACTGTGTACATGGTTATACTGCGCTATCACTGACTACTGACAAGTGAGGTCTAGCTGTTTATGCCCCGCCTTTTAGCCTTTTTTTTGTACCTGTTATAATTTTACTGTTTAGCCGTACACATTCTTTGTCGAATGTGACCTTAAAGTTTCTAATGGTGGAACTTGCACAACTCGTGTCAACACTCACCTTGTTGACCAGCCGTAATTGGTACGAGTATTTCCTTACATTCCTTCTGCTAATTTGTTTTTCCAGCTCCTACTTGTGTACTCTTGCCCTATTTTCTCTCAATTTAAAGACCCAGTTTTTGTCCATCTTATCTGGTCTCCTCTGTATCATGTACGTTGTGATCATATCCCTTGTTTCTTCTATTCTCCTGTGTTGAGATCTGGTTCCCTTAATGTATCTTCATCTTGTATTGGGGGGCGGGGGTATAGGGGTGTGTGTGTGTGTGTTCACCTAGTTGTGCTTGCGGGGGGGGGGCGAGCTTTGGCTCTTTGGTCCCACCTCTCAACTGTCAATCAACTGGTTTACAGATTCTTGTGCCTACTGGAATATCAATCTACATTAGAAATGTGTGAGAGAGAATATGACAGCCTCTGCCTGAGTGACTGATGGTATTATCCCACCAAATAACAAGTACCACTGCTGTAGACGGCAAACATTTATTATCTACTACAGTAAAGTGACGCTTTGTATACCCCAAGTTTGTCACCACACGACCACACTTGTGTAGTGGTGAAGCTCTTCATCACTGGCAGCGTCGACCTTCAAGCTGCCGATAACCCCGACCAGTGTGACGGAAGCCTCATGCTGTGTCGACCAGTGTGACGGAAGCCTCGTACTGTGTCGACCAGTGTGACGGAAGCCTCGTGCTGTGTCGACCAGTGTGACGGAAGCCTCGTGCTGTGTCGACCAGTGTGACGGAAGCCTCGTGCTGTGTCGACCAGTGTGACGGAAGCCTCGTGCTGTGTGTCGACCAGTGTGACGGAAGCCTCGTGCTGTGTCGACCAGTGTGACGGAAGCCTCGTGCTGTGTGTCGACCAGTGTGACGGAAGCCTCGTGCTGTGTGTCGACCAGTGTGACGGAAGCCTCGTGCTGTGTGTCGACCAGTGTGACGGAAGCCTCGTGCTGTGTGTCGACCAGTGTGACGGAAGCCTCGTGCTGTGTGTCGACCAGTGTGACGGAAGCCTCGTGCTGTGTGTCGACCAGTGTGACGGAAGCCTCGTGCTGTGTGTCGACCAGTGTGACGGAAGCCTCGTGCTGTGTGTCGATCAGTGTGACGGAAGCCTCGTGCTGTGTGTCGACCAGTGTGACGGAAGCCTCGTGCTGTGTGTCGACCAGTGTGACGGAAGCCTCGTGCTGTGTGTTAATTATATTATGTGGTTTCTTTTGTAGTTGTTGGCGTGACTTTTGAGAGTGAAAATATTTTCAATGTTATTACTTTAATAATATTGAATTGACGTCTACGTCGATATAGAGAGGTGGGGGGGGGAGAGAGAAGGGTGAGAAGAGAGAGAGGGGGGGAGAGGTGGAGGGGGGTGTCGGCCACTCTCAAAAAACATAAATTATATCTACTTTCCAAATATTAGCCAGTGGCTGTATTTTTTGTTTGAGTTAATAATTTTGTTTTCAGCACTTTATAAAAAATATTACAGGTTAAAATAAAAAACTCTTGCCATCTTTAAAACTAAAATATTAAATGTAAATGCTTTCGTAATATATAATTTTCTTGAATATTCTTTATATTGCAAATGATAATTTTCCAGTAAAGCCAAATTGTTTGTCCCTGTACAGTGCCGCCGCTGGCAGAGTCCGGCAGCCCTGAGCCAGGCAGAGAAGCGCCGCAGACGGAGGTGGTCAGCAGTGGGCTGAGCGGTGGGCTCGGGGTGGCTGTAGGTGGGCTGGTGGGCGGTGTTGGGGTGAGCCTGTTGGTGCTGGTGCTGGTGATACTGGTGATGAGACGACGACAACAGCGGAGAGCCAGGGAGGACCAGCTGGTGGCTCCTCCCCTGCCCGAGGACCCAGCAGTGAAGCCGCCTCACCCCGGTCAGTATATGTGAGGGAAGCTGCCTCACCCCGGTCAGTACATGTGAGGGAAGCTGTCTCACCCCGGTCAGTACACGTGAGGGAAGCTGCCTCACCCCAGTCAGTATATGTGAGGGGAAACAGGTCAACTGAACCACCTCTGACCATCAGAGGTGATCTGTGTTAAGACAATAAACTGCCGGAACTCAACCTTCCGTTTCTCGGTGGTTTCCGCCATTTTATATTGTTAATTTTTTTTTCATTCAAACAAATATATACACTTGTGTATTCACACGTATTTGAATGTGTAGTGATATTTCAAATGCACTCAAATTCTTAAAGTGTTCTTCAAACACCTAAATTAGCCAATAAATTATTTTCGAAATTATACAGAGTCCTATATTCACGCATTAAACTTGTTGCCTAAAATTACTCTCGTGCAAAAACATATCAACTTTAAAATACAAACCTGTTGCTTAGTAGGAGCCAGTCGGCCGAGCGGACAGCACGCTGGACTTGTGATCCTGTGGTCCTGGGTTCAATCCCAGGCGCCGGCGAGAAACAATGGGCAGAGTTTCTTTCACCCTATGCCCCTGTTACCTAGCAGTAAAATAGGTACCTGGGTGTTAGTCAGCTGTCACGGGCTGCTTCTTGGGGGTGGAGGCCTGGTCGAGGACCGGGCCGCGGGGACACTAAAAAGCCCCGAAATCATCTCAAGATAACCTCAAGATAGTAGCGGGGTACACACACCACACACCCCTACCTATTCAACACTGGTGGGACGCGAACAAGGGGACACAGGTGGAAACTGGGTACCCACATGAGCCACAGAGACGTTAGAAGGAACTTCTTCAGTGTCAGAGTAGTTAACAGGTGGAATGCATTAGGCAGTGATGTGGTGGAGGCTGACTCCATACACAGTTTCAAGTGTAGATATGATAGAGCCCAGTAGGCTCAGGAATCTGTACACCAGTTGATTGACAGTTGAGAGGCGGGACCAAAGAGCCAAAGCTCAACCCTCGCAAGCATAAATAGGTGAGTACACACACACAATCTAAATACATTCATGTAGTGTGGGATTTTGTTATACATGCGTACATAAAGATATTCGCACACACAGGCCTACACGAATACACTTGAGAACAAAATGTAATATCTGAGAGTTTTGTCAACTTTTATAACTGCCGAAGAAAGCAACAAATTTATAACGGATAATGACCAGACCACACACTAGAAGGTGAAGGGACGACGACATTTCGGTCCGTCCTGGACAATTCTCAAGTCGACTTGAGAATGGTCCAGGACGGACCGGAACGTCGTCGTCCCTTCACCTTTTAGTGTGTGGTCTGGTCAACATACTTTAGCCACGTTATTGTGACTCATCGCCTGCTTATAACGGATATATTAAGTTTGTCGTAATATATAGAGCTAAAGAGACCTGCTGTACCGTGAGCGGTGAATCACTGTACATCTTTATCCCACAGAGGTCGAGGAGGAACTGTCTGTAGTGGGCCCCAGCCTTGAGCTTCCCTACACCCCACGTCCGCCCCACACCCCACGACCCCCACACACCCCACGACCCCCACACACCCCACGGGCCCCCCACACCCCACGGCCCCAAACACCACGCCTACAGACGCCACACCCACCTCTTACGCCGCCCTCATCCAAGGTAAGTACAGATGCGAGGCTCTTCTGACACCAACTGTAAAGACTTTTTAGGTTTAATGCAATTTTATTAGATTTAAAGTAATGCAGCTTTATGTAAATATACTGAGGTGTAGTGAGGTCAGAGGCCGTGGCCAGGACTCCTTCCTACAGTTTTCAGAAATTATCTTTGTTGCAGCTTAGAACTGACGTGTTTAAATATTTAGATTTGATCTTTATTTCCACGTATTTGTATCCTCCAATCTGTTTGCTGCTTCTCACTTTCTTTGCTGGGTCCTCACTTTTGGGACTAACTTTAGACAGAATATTGAATAGGACAAATTATGTTCACTCTGTAGTCCGTTGCCAAAAATCTTAACTACATAGTTTAAATGGTATGTGGGCCACTACCACCCACGGGATTGGTATAGGGACCCACTACCACCCACCGGATAGGTATGGGTTGCATAATAAACTACACACAACTTGAATGCGACTGTTAACCTGTAAGTCTAGCCAGTGTATTTTCTAGAAATATACTTTGTGCTGCAGATGGCGAGAGGCAGCAGCGAGGCGGTGGCCAGAGGCAGCAAGGAGTCTGTGGTGGATGCCTCGGGGTCGAGTGTGAGCCAGGAGGGTGGAGGAAGGACCAGTGTGACGGGCGGGTCTCCCAAGGTCAAGTGAGGTCATTCCTCTCCTACACTTCATCTTGTCTACTCTCAACTCGCCGCCTCCTCCTCCTCCTCCTCTCCTCGTATACCCTACCTCTCTCTATCTCTCCCTTTCCCTCACCTTCCAAACATCATTTTCTCTATTCTTTTTCGTGTTTTCAATGTTACTATCTATACTGCTTCTCCACATTTCTCCCAACGTCTCCTATATCTCCGTGCAACTTTTCCATTCATATATCTTTATACCCCAAGCCCTTCACCTCTCCCCTGTCTCAGCATCCCTCATCTCTTCCCTTCCCTCCATCTATCTCACCCACGCCCCTCACTACCACTCTTTCTCCTCACCCCTCTCCCTCAAGTCCTCATTCGTCGCCATCAAGATTTACTGCGTCAAGACTCGTTATTGTTGTGTCCTGGTGGCTGGTCGCGGGGGCCAACTTGTCTATATTTTGTAATAAAGCTTTTGTATTCCTTTGTCTGTTGGTTTGATTATGACCTCTACATATATCGCAAGAGTTGCAATAGGTAAAATACCATTGGCTGAGTTACCAAAAGTAGACTGCAAAAAAGTTATCATAAGTATGGAGTATTACAAAGTTTGTGGTTGTGTGGCAATTACAAGTTCTTGTATGAAAGAGGATCACGTCCTTGCAGTATTTGGATACTTAAAATGTAAACCGGAAAATCGTAAGTGGCAAATGAATCTATTTTTTTAATTATAAAACATACATAACCTCTTGGATGTGACGAGACACGACGCTAAAGATAATTTATAACTTGCAGGTAATACATCTATATTATGTTAATTACACAGCTATGATTATACAGCCGTGATCCTATCCTATAATTCTGGCTCCTCCTTGTGTTATAACCCATATAATCCCCAGGAGCCTCATGAACGGTACTGTATCACGCACGGTGTGAGGAGCAAGTGCATGGGGGCCCTCTACCCTGTGTGTGAGGTGCAAGTGCATGGGGGCCCTCTACACTGGGTGTGAGGAACAAGTGCATGGGGGCCCTCTACACTGGGTGTGAGGAACAAGTGCATGGGGGCCCTCTACACTGGGTGTGAGGAACAAGTGCATGGGGGCCCTCTACACTGGGTGTGAGGAACAAGTGCATGGGGGCCCTCTACACTGGGTGTGAGGAACAAGTGCATGGGGGCCCTCTACACTGGGTGTGAGGAACAAGTGCATGGGGGCCCTCTACACTGGGTGTGAGGAACAAGTGCATGGGGGCCCTCTACACTGGGTGTGAGGAACAAGTGCATGGGGGCCCTCTACACTGTGTGTGAGGAACAAGTGCATGGGGGCCCTCCACAAGGGGACACAGGTGGACATGTAGTACCCAGATGAGTCACAGCGACATTAGAAATAATTTGTTCAGTGTCAGAGTAGTTAACAGGTGGAATGCATTAGGCAGTGATGTGGTGGAGGCTGACTCCATACACAGTTTCAAATGTAGATATGATAGAGCCCAGTAGGCTCAGGAACCTGTACATCAGTTGATTGACAGTTGAGAGGCGGGACCAAAGAGTCAGAGCTCAACCCCCGCAAGCACAACTAGGAACAACACAGGGTATGAGGAACGAGCTTGCACCCGGGCCCCTCCACATCCTAAAGGGTGCCAAGTGGCTGAGTGGACAGCGCTTTGGATGCGTAGATCTTGGGACCTGGGATCGATCCCGGGCCATGGTGGAAACAAATGGGCAAAGTTTCTTTCACTCTGATGCTCCTGTTACCTAGCAGTAAATAGGTACCTGAGAGTTAAACAGCTATTACGAGCTGCTTCGTGTGTGTGTGTGTGTGTGTGTGTGTGTATTCACCTAGTAGTGTTTGCGGGGGTTGAGCTTGGCTCTTGCGGCCCGCCTCTCAACTGTTTACTAACTACTTTTTTCACATCTCTCTCACACACACACACACACACACACACACACACACACACACACACACACACACACACACACACACACACACACACACACACACATACATCCCAGGAAGCAGCCCGTAACAGCTGACTAACTCCCAGGTACCCATTTACTCTTAGGTAACAGGGGGATTCAGGGTGAAAGAAACTTTGCCCATTTGTTTCTGCCTGGTGCGGGAATCGAATCCGCGCCACAGAATTACGAGTCCTGCGCGCTATCCACCAGGGTGTGTGTGTGTGTGTTTACTAGTTGTTTTTGCGGGGGTTGAGCTTTGCTCTTTCGGCCCGCCTCTCAACTGTCAATCAACTGTTTACTAACTAACTACTAACTTACTACTTTTTTTTTCCCCCACACCACACAAACACACCCCAGGAAGCAGCCCGTGACAGCTGACTAACTCCCAGGTACCTATTTACTGCTAGGTAACAGGGGCACTTAGGGTGAAAGAAACTTTGCCCATTTGTTTCTGCCTCGTGCGGGAATCGAACCCGCGCCACAGAATTACGAGTCCTGCGCGCTATCCACCAGGCTACGAGGCCCCCCTATGTGTATGTGTGTGTGCGCGCGTGCGTGCGCGTTTGTGCGTGCGTGCGCGCGCTCGTTTTACTTCATCTATTCCAAGGAAAACTAGTGAGTAACGCTTATCATGAATTTAGTGGTTCAGGTACAGTAGGTGTCGGTTCGAGAAGAGTTGGATAAGCGCCAGTTAAACTGTCGAACTCTGTTTTCAAACGCCAAGTTTGGATTCGGAGCAAATATTATCATGAATACCACAACCCGTCTTCGCATACAAAGATCCAAGCTCGTTAATCCAGCCACCAAACCCTCTGCTTAAGAATGAAAAGCGGTTTACACACGATTCACAACTTATGACGTCCGAACACTTCCGGAACAAGTGCTTCACTCACGTCCTCAGTTCGAACCACAATTTTATAAATGCGTCTCCCTCCTCTGGGTGAATACAAATGTAGATCATATTCGAACAGGATGTCGAGAAGGTATAGTGGGTCATGTGTGGTGGTTCAGCCCGTCCTCCAAACAAAGATCCAAAAGTGATTCCATGCACCCGCCAAACCCCCTGTTTATGAATGAAAAGCGGTTTACACACGACTCACAACTGCTGACGTTCGAGCATATCCGTAACAAGTGCTTCACTGACGAATTTTGTTCGAATCACAACGCTATAAATGCTTCACCCACGTACTACAAATACAAATAATCGCCAACAGAACCTAAACACCTAACCTAACCTAACCTAACCTATGCCTATGCCTATATATACACAATATGCTATTATAATAATAATTTATACTTGAGAAAATTCCTTTTTTGAATGAACAGCATGTTAAAATTTATGAATGCGTCTGTGGGGTTGACCGCTGAATGTAATGGACTTGAGTCGAGGACGGGTTGGGTGGTTAGTAGTTGTGGATTGTGGGTGGTGGTAGTGGCAGGTAATAGTGGGGGTGGACGGTGGTAGTGGGGGTAGAATGTGGTAGTAAGGTGTGGGGGGGATGGCAGGTGGGAGGCAGGTAGTAGTGGGAGGGATGACGGAATAGTGGGGAAATGAAAAATTGGTGGCAAAGGGTAATTTAGGATGGTAAGGGCAGAGGAGGGCAGCGAAGAACTCTATATTAAATATATTTCTGTGTAATACATCCTTTACTTTAATGTTCAAACAAAATAGAGCAGCACAGAGCCTCTTGTCTAACACACGAGTCCCGGCGCTTATCACGTTACGAGACAGTTCTCCAGTGTGAGTGGTGACTGACTCTTCTGAACGAGGTGAAGCAATAGTTTAAAATTTGTTTACTGGCAACCACTCATTTTATGATTTTCCTTCCAGCCTATGATTCCTGTCATTGCAAATGATAAGGTAACCGCTAGAAGGTGAAGCGGAGTTTGTATAGTTCCTGCCCGAGAAGGCTTTGACAACTAGCAAGACACAGGTAAGGGAATCGAATAATCATTTGCGAGACCACGTATAGGCGCTGTGATGGCGCAAGTAACACTCTGAATGTTGTCATACAAACTTTAGAATGATTTTTTGTTAAGTTAAAGAAACTGGATCATATTAACAGAGGGGAAAATCCACTACAGAAAAGTGATTAAATTTCTAGATGCATTTTTTGTTATGAACTTCCCTCTAAGTTGAAAAAATATTGTAATCATATTTCACCATACCCCATTAATTTTCTGCCTTGACGTGCTGACGGGGCTCTTGTGCAGCGCCCTCGGAGGTGTGGTGGAGGGTCCTGCTGCTCGTGCCTCCTGTGACGGGTCACAGCCACACACACTGTGACTCAGCCGACGTGTGTGTCGTGCATGAACACCCGCAAGTTTAACATTTTCCTTCACCAGGACATTGAGTCTGGCCAGCGCCAGCACACTTTAGTGGAGAGATGAGGGTAAAATGAAAGGTTTTGGGGGTACCAAGTCTCCCTTGCAGAAGTACATCCTCTCTCAGCATCTGTGCACTAAGTGCTGGAAGTTTGGCCATGGAACTATGTTTTGCCGTAATAATTTTCAGGCAGATCACAAGTCTTGTTCCCAATATTCCGTCAAGTCAATTGTCCCAAGATAGAATCCTACGCCTTTAACAACGCTTGTCTTGTGCATTTTTGCTCCCATGTCTCCCTGAGCGATATTTAGGAGCTCTTGACTATCGCGTGACACACGGTACTATATAGTCTTCCTAGCCTGGCATCTCTTCTTAATAATTACTTAGTTACTTGACCCCTGGATTCTGCAGCATGTGTGAGCAGCAGTTCCAGCAGTGTCTTGTTGAACCCTGAGATAAAGGACAGGTACTAACTAAATACAAAATTTTACTTTCGCCTTTGGCATTTACTAATAAAACCAACATTTTGATGACTATATTAATGCGTGTAACTATACAACTATATTCTAAGAGCTTGAAAACAGCGTACTGGCGCATAACAAAAATTCCACACCAAGTGCAGACTTTTCAAATGTTTTTTTTATTAAACTAGCTGATGTTCTAACCAATATACAACAAGATTTTAAGTCAATATGTAATATAGAAAACTTTTATTTGGAAGGTGTAATCAAATACTTAAGATTCTTTAAGTCAGTATGCAATATACAGAGGATTATGGAGTGAGGATTGCTAACAAGAGTGGCGGGGGATTAACAGTGTGAGAGGGAGCGAGTGGGGCTGGAGGAGGTGGAGTAAAGGTTGAGTGTGGGAGGGATAGGAAGGGTTGGAGAGGGAGGGAAGGAGAGAGGAAATAAAATAGAGAAAGGGAACGAATGAGCAATATAAAAGTGATGGTTGATCACAGCATGCTGAGATAACCGTCAAAGACAGATAAAAGGACAGTTAGGGGTTCAGAGATGAGGTTACCTTACCTTGAGGTGATTTCGGGGCTTAGCGATCCCGCGGCTCGGTCGTCGACCAGGCCTCAAAATAAAGATGTGTAAATCAGCTTTAAAATATTTGTAATCTAAACTTATGCCAGTCTTCACTGCCATTCTCAAACTTTATTTATTTTCCAAAATTAAAGGCAGACGAACCCATTTTTA